AAATATAAAGAATTATTAGAGAATACTATGAAAAATTATATGGTAACAAACTGGATAACCTAGAAGAAATAGACAACTTTCTGGAAAAATACAATCTTCCAAGGCTGACCCAGGAATAATCAGAATATCTGAACAGACCAATTACCAGCAAGGAAATTGAATTGGTAATCAAAGAATGACCAAAGAATAAAACACCTGAACCAGATGGCTTCACTGCTGAATTTTATCAAACATTTAGTGAAGACATAATACCCATCCTCCTTAAAGTTATCCAAAAAGTAGAAGATGGAGTACTTCCAAACTCATTCTACGAGGCCACTATCACACTAATACCAAAACCAGGCAAAGATATCCAAAAAAGGAAAATTACAGACCAATATCCCTGATGAACATAGATGCAAAAATACTCAACAAAATATTAGTAAACCAAATTCAAAAATACATCAAAAAGATCATCCTTCATGATCAAGTAGTATTCCAGGGATGCAAGGATGGTATAACATTTGAAAATCCATCAACATCATCCACCACATCAACAAAAAGAAGGACAAAAACCATATGATCATCTCTATAGATGCTGAAAAAGCATTCGACAAAATTCAACATTCATTCATGATAAAAACTCTCCACAAAATGGGCATAGAGGGCAAGTACCTCAACATAATAAAGGCCATATATAATAAAACCCACAGCTAACATCATACTGAACAGTGAGAGGCTGAAAGCTTTTCCTCTGAGATCAGGGACAAGACAGGGATGCCCACTCTCCCCACTGTTATTCAACATAGTTCTGGAGGTCCTAGCCATGGCAATTAGACAATACCATGAAATAAAAGTCCTCCAGATTGGCAAGGAAGAACTTAAACTGTCCCTGTTTGCAGATGACATGATATTGTACATAAAAAACCTGAAGAATCCACTCCAAAACTACTAGATCTAATATCTGAATTTAGCAAAGTTATAGGATACAAAATTAATATACAGAAATCTGTTGCATGAACTAGCAGAAAGAGAAATCAGGAAAACAATTCCATTTACAATTGCATCAAAAAGAATAAAATACCTAGGAATAAACCTAACCAAGGAAGTGAAAGACCTATTACCTGAAAAGTCTAAGACACTCTTGAGAGAAATTAAAGAGAACACTAATAAATGGAAATTCATCCCATGCTCTTGGATAGGAAGAATTAATATTGTCAAAATGGTCATCCTGCCTAAATCAATCTACAGATTCAATGCAATCCCTACCAAAATACCAACAGCATTCTTCAATGAACTAGAGCAAATAGTTCTTCCCTATCAAAATACCAACAGCATTCTTCAGTGAACTAGAGCAAATAGTTCTAAAATTCATATGGAACCACAAAAGACCCCAAAAAGCCAAAGTAATCCACAGAAGGAAGAATAAAGCAGGGGGGGTCTCGCTTTCCAACTTTAAGCTCTACTACAAAGCCACAGTAATCAGGACAATTTGGTACTGGCACAGAACAGATGTATAGACCAATGGAACAGACTAGAGAGTCCAGATATAAACCCAAGCATATATGGTCAATTAATATACAATAAAGGAGCCATGGGCATACAATGGGGAAATGATAGCCTCTTCAACAAGTGATGCTGGCAAGACTGGACAGTTACATGCAAGAGAATGAAACTGGATTATTGTCTAACCCCATACACAAAAATAAAGTCAAAATGGATCAAAGACCTGAATGTAAGTCATGAAACCATAAAACTCTTAGAAGAAAACATAGGCAAACATCTCTTGAATATAAACATGAGCAACTTTTTCCTGAACGCATCTCCTCAAGCAAGGGAAACAAAAGCAAAAATGAACAAATGGGACTACATCATGCTAAAAGGCTTTGGTACACCAAAGGACACCATCAGCAGAACAAAAGGTATCCTATCCTACAGTATGGGAGAATATATTTGTAAATGACATATCTGATAAGGGGTTAAACATCCAAAATATATAAAGAAGTCACATGCCTCAACACCCAAAAAGCAAATAACCCAATTAAAAAATGGGCAGAGGATATGAACAGACAATTCTCCAAAGAAGAAATTCAGATGGCCAACAGACACATGAAAGGATGCTCCTCATCATTAATTATCAGGGAAATGCAAATTAAAAACACAATGAGGTATCACCTCACACCAGTTAGGATGGCCAACATCAAAAAGACTAGGAACAACAAATGCTGGTGAGGATGCGGAGAAAGGGGAACCCTCCTACACTGCTGGTGGGAATGTAAACTAGTTCAACCATTGTGGAAAGCAATATGGAAGTTCCACAAAAAACTAAAAATAGAAATACCATTTGAGCTGGGAATTCCACTTGTAGGAATTTACCCAAAGAAAACAACTTCTCAGATTCAAAAACACATATGCACCCCTATGTTTATTGCAGCACTATTTACAATATCCAAGATATGGAAGCAACCTAAGTGTCCATCAGTAGATGAATGGATAAAGAAGATGTGGTACATATACACAATAGAATATTATTAGGCCATTAGAAAGAAACAAATCCTACCATTTGCAACAACATGGATGGAGCTGGAAGATAGTATGCTCAGTGAAATAAGCCAGGTGGTGAAAGACAAGTGCCAAATGATTTCTCTCATTGTGGAGTATAACAATGAAGTAAAACTGAAGGAACAAAATAGTAGCAGACTCACAGACTCCAAGAGGGGACTAGTGGTAAACAAAGGGGAGGGGTGGGGAAGGAGGGAGAAGCAGGGAATTGTAGGGTATCTTGATTGGTACACATGGTGTGTGTGGGGTCATGGGGAAGACACTAGCTCAGAGAAGACAAAAAGGGACTCTGTGGCATCTTATTACACTGATGGACAGTGACTGCAATGGGGTATGTGGGGGTACTTGATAATAAGGGTGAATGTGATAACCACTGCTTTTCCTGTGAAACCTGCATAAGAGTATATATCAATGATACCTTAATAAAAATTAAAAAATTTTTTAAAATAATGGAAAATGAGATGAGTTGCCTTAGATTTCAAAAGGTGTAACAGAGATATTTAATGGAGAGAATAGTATGATTATAGCATGAGAATCAAGATGAGACTCGACCAACAGCACAGAAGAGATTACCTTATAATTGGCCCCTGATATACATACACATCTATATGTAAACAAACACAATTGAGAGTGCATCATGAAGCAACATCATTCAACCAACAGTGATAGGAAGTGATGATATGTGAATCAAATGAAGCTGATCCTTACTGAAATTCCAGATGAGATCAAGTTAAATGTATAAAATCAAACTATAAAAATGATTCTATGGCTTGTTATACAAGATATATTATTTCAATTACTATGATGTGAGGATTCACTCAACAGGCATCAAACTGGCCAGAGCTCTTTTGCTCCCTCAAGGCAAGGACCCAGGTCAATGCATGAGTCACACTGATCAACAGTGTTGATTTGGAACCATGGGTTCAAGGAGTTTGGGGCCAACTGCTTCAGAAACTTGTCAGCACTGCTTACTGATAACATGAGATTGAGGAGGTGAGATGCTGAGAGGCCTCTGCTGTAGTAGGAGCACATCTCTGAGAGAAGCAAAATGTGAGAATTCTAGACAAGACTCTGGTAGGCTTCCCAATTCCCTGGTGTTCAATGAACATACATCCCGCCACAGCCCTCACAGAGGGAAGATGGCTGGAGCTGCACCTGGCCTCCACGGGAACCTATACTGATACTGCTGTACTCCATCCTTTTCATGTAATAAACTGTAGATTTGGAAGTGCTATCATTTTGGGTACATGAGGTTTTTAGTAACAGAAACCCATAAAAGTGCCCATTAGTGCAGTGATGAAAAAGAATGTCTGTGGAAAATATAATGGTAATGAAATTCTCCCCCAAAAGATTAACAGATGTTAAGCGTACAATATTATAAAATGTATGTTCAATGTAACACTAAACAAAATTTTTAATTAAATGATAAAAAGCAGAAAAATATTTGCAACAAATGAAGGATAAATATCCTTTACAAAGTAATTTTACCAATCAGTAAAAACACATTAACATTCCACTAGAAAAATGGACAAAGGACATGAACAAGGAATTCACCAAAGACATGCCTCAGCCACACACCTTAGTGTCACTTAGTAGTAATCAAAGGAATGCCAGTTACAAATATAAGAACTTATTTATCTAGAAGAACATTTTCACCTAGCAAAGTGGCAAAAAAAGGTTTTTTATGGGCAGTACTCAATACCGAATGAAAGTGGTAAAATAGTAAGTATGGAGATGCACTGATCACAGGCACATAAATAAGAATAGCTTTCTGAAAAACCTTCTGGCAACTGCAGTCCATAAAGACTCAACAATTCTAACTTCTATGAACCTGTCTGATGAAAATAAAAAATGTGATTCAAGAGTTAGTTCAAAGGTGGTCCAGCAGAGTTATTTACAATATGGATAAAGTAAATTGCTTAAATGTCAAACAACAGAACTGTGAGTAGAATTACAAGATGATGGAACACTTAAATCATAAACATGAGATCTTTGAAAAAATTTAATGACACAATGTATATAAAGTTTGATTATAATATATTATATCAAATTTTTAAGTGACTAGAAGGAAATACCTCAAAAGGTTAACAAAGCTTTTCTTTACAGGTGATGGAATGACACAGGTTATGGTATGATATGAACTTCTTATTCTAAATGTTCTACAATGCATAGTATCTTTATCATCAAAAGAAAAATATATGTGAGTACATTTTTCATACACCAAAAAAAATTTTTAACAAATGCATGATAAAATTTATGGTAGATGTCCCACTAGGTCCACATGTTAACAAGCCAGCCAGTGAAGAAAATAAGATCACCATGAGAAGAGGAACAGGATATTACCCACAGCTCCTCCCAGAGTTCCCCAAAACACTTCACAATTGACTATTAAGGATAGGAAAGAAAAGCAAGTATAGAGAAGGCAGTATATTATCTGAATATTATAGCCCTTTACTTACCATCCTCTGCTAAGATCTTGGCAGCATCTTTATCATCTTCCCACTTCCCAGTCACGAAGCAATCTCTGATGCTGCTCATAACCTTACACAGAAAAGTCAGCACTTAGGTGACATGCTACAATCACTCAACAAAGAATTGCTATCAAGAAACAGTAGGAGGTGACAACTTGCTTTAAATGCTTTTGAAGACAATTTCATGGATATTCTTTCCAAGTAGGCCTATGAAATAACTTTACCTTTGATGTAGACAGTAAAACCACAGAGATAAAATCATAAATGTTATAACATTAAGCAGAAGACAGGCAAAGTACAGTACTACTAGCTGACTGACCTGGTGAATAAACAGATACTTATTAATTCAACTGATTTTCAAAGTTGATTAGCACTCCTAAGGCAATACAATTAGCATTTTTACAAAGTTGGTATTACTATTTGTTAATCCAGCCTTATTGTGGCTGTTTGAGAACTTAATTCCTTGACCAATGACAATATTCTGACAGAGACAAAATGTCCTGTATGAGCACGACAGTGCGACAATACCAATGAGGTTCCCAATCTCAGATCTACTACATCATCCAATACACACATGCAGTGAATGCTGGGTGTACCTCTCAAACCTGGAATAAAACCTTGTGTACAGTTCTCCATCTCAGACTCTGTGTCCTGGTAACCTGACCTATGACAGCATGTCACTCACTGCCAAGGCTTCAAAAACACACTTATAGAAATCTTTACATAAGGCCTGGCTTTCACCTCATCACATTTGGTTATAAATCTGTTTCACATATACAACCTCACTCTCCACAAGCAGCCTTGAGGCTACCATGACTACAGTATATACAAAAGCAATTTGTTCATTTACTCATTCCTTCATGCTTATTTATAATCACTAAATAAATACCGAATCTACTCTGTGCCAAAAAGCTCTGTAAGCACCAAAGAGCAAACTTCCTTGGAGATCCTTGTTTTCCTGAAGCTCAACAACTGACTTATAGGAACCAAAGATAAAACAGATGGAAAAAATAGGCTCTCCAAGATAAAAACACTCAACAATCTGGGAACAGAAGGGAACTTCCTCAACCTGATAAAGGGCATCCATTAAAAATCCACACCTAGCATCACACTTAATCGTGAAAGATTGAGAGCTTTCTTCCTAAGATTAGAAGTGAGACAAGAATGTCTGCTCTCAGGACTTCTATTTACCATTGTACTAGATGTTCTAGCCAGGGCAATTAGGCAAGAAAATAAAATAAAAGGCAACCAGTTTACAAAGGAAAACTATCTCTATTCACAGGTGATATGATCTTGTATATAGAAAAGCCTAAAGAACACACTGAAAAGCTACCAGAAGTAATATATGAGTTCAGCAATGCTTGCAAGATATTGCATCATATACAATAGTAAATTTTGTTTCTATACACTAGCAATGAACAATCCAACAATGAAATTTAGAAAACAGTTCCTTTCAAAATAGCATCAAAAATATACTAGGAATAATTTCAACAAAAGATATCAGTAAATGGTAAATCAAAACCACAATGAGATACCGTCACATCCCTAGGATGGCTGTAATTAAAAAAAAACAAAGCATATAATAAGAGTTGGTGAGGATGTAGGCAAATTAGAAGCTACATACACTGTGCTGGTGGGAGTGTAAAACGGTATAGGCACTTTTGAAAAGAGAAATGGAACAACATATGAGGGGAAAAAAATTTAACTGTTTTCAGTAATTATATACATAGCAACATGTATAATATTATTCTGACACTATTTTGTGTATAATGTGGGATAGAGCAAATGAGTAATTATACAATTTTCTAATTTCATTATCTTCAGATTCAAACCAGTAATCATTCTCCAGTTGAAAAATAGGAGAGACAAATCTTTAAGATGAAAGATTAAATGAAAATTCCCTAATTCCGACTATGAATTGGAAACATCTGTATAAATTTTTTCAGGTCTGGTCACTGACAAGACCTAGAAACAAAGACCAAACCATAGCAAAGAGTTATGCAAGAAAACAGACAAGTACAGTACTACTAGCCGACTGACAAGTAGTACTTGTATCAAGCCTAGACTGTGATACTGAAATACCATTTTGTACTAAAAGAAATCAGGACCTCTTACGGCTTACTTCCGAATCTCACATCAGATATACGTACAAGATGATGTTGGAACACCTTCTATTGGAGAGCAAGTGAGCAATCAAGGACTATTAGGACTGTACCAAAGAACTCAATAATCAACTTGAAGAGACTCCCCCTGGCCACGGATGGAATAAACATGAGCATCAATAAGGATAACAAGTGCAGTGGAAGGAATCACTCAACTGTATTTAAATCCATGAGTTCAAAATGCTACTCAAAAAAAGGTCACCTTTGGAGAATCACTCTGAAAACTGGTAAAAGCATCAAGCATTTATCCTGTTTACATGGAACTGAGGAACCAAACAGTAGATGAGGGGAAGTTTATTTGTACATAAGCATTCCAGCTAATACATAAAATAAAAATCTGAGCAAAATATCACCATTTTATATCCTTAATAAAAATATGGTTCTAGACATTGAGGATCAACAGCTTTTAACATCACAAGATGATTTTATGTGCCCACTAATGAAAAATCACCACTTTGGCAAGCAATCTCGCAAAACAAAAACGCTAAATCTAATCAAACCTCTAGATAGGGTAGCTATATTTATTTAAAACTTAAATAAAACTAAAACTTTAGTTCTTCTGTGTCACCAGCCACATTTAAAGTACTCAGTAGCCACAAGTAGCCACACTAGACAGTTTATATGTACATCATTTCCATCATCACAGACAGTTCTACTGGTATTGTCTGTACCAATCTACAGGAAATACACAGGAGCTGATAAATGCAGACCCACGAAGTCCAGAATGTGAGAAACTCTGTATCAAATACCTGGTTTCTTTTTTTTTCTGAGTATTTTTTTTATTGAAGTATAGTTGGTACACCATTTTATATCGGTTTCAAGTATACATCATAGTGACTCAACAGTTATCTACATTATTATATGCTCACTCCAACTACTGTAAATTACTGTCAACATAGAAGGATGTTACAGAACCACTGACTATATTCTCTATGTTGTACTTTCATCTCTGTGCTAGTTTATATTACAACTGAGATTTTGTGCCACTTTATCTCCTTCCCCTATTACCTGCCCATGCCAACCCCTCCCTGATGATAACCACCAGTCTCTTCTCAGTGTCTATGAGTCTATTTGTTTTGTTTTTTTAGATTCCACATATATTTGACTTCTTACACAAATAAAATGTAAGGGAAAATGAGATGGGTGGAGGGGAGGATTATAGGTTAAGAGACTTAAAAGCATAGTGAAAAACAAAAAAAAAAACCCCATTAAACTAAATTTTGGTGGTTACTGATGCAAACTTAGATGATGCAATGATGAAGAAAGGAAGGCTATCATTACTCAAAGAGACATGGTTCCTTTTCTGCAGAGAACAGAGGACGATGACTGGGATGGACACATGGTGGTGACAGGGTTATTCACCTAGTAATCCATTGAGTTAAACAATTGTTTTAGGTGGGTCTGTATAATCTGTATTAAATTCTACTATAAAAAATGGTTACATAAAATCTCATAAAGTGCTCAGTGAATTAAAATAGGTAATGTGATAGTGATCAGGGGCCTCTCTGAAGAATGACATATAAGTTAAATTGAATGAACAAAAGAAGCCAGCCTTGGGAAGATCAGAACATTCCAGATGAGAAAATAGAAGGGCAAGAGGCCAAAGAGGAGATTAAGCCTGACAAGTTGTAGAACTAAATGGATTCCAGTGTGACTAGAGAGTACTGAGCAGGGTAAGAAACTTTTATCAGTATCACGGATCTATGTTTGTTTATGATAGTAGATATCAGAAATGTCAACTCAGGGACACTGGATATATCCTAGTATAAAACACAAAATATCTCAAGTATGAAGTTTCAAGTATGAAAACTTATGTGCAATGCTTACAAATAAAGATTAAGACTTTATTTGTCTTAATCCCACACTAAGGTTGAACATTTTCATTTTCTCGATAACACATGCATGAGGTCTGACTCAACTCAGAACATGTCACTGATGAAGGAGCATGAAATCTCCATTTCAGTATCTGGGGAAATGTCCTGTTATAAAAATAAGAAGCTAGTACCATGTAAGCAATACTGAAATCACATCATCTTCTTTTATAACAATTCCCTAATTCTCTCCTAAGCCAAACACACTATTCATATTCAGCCTTACCTCCTCTAAATCCCAATCATGGGGCACCTCCACGTGAAACCTGGAGCAGTCCAAAGAGTCAGCCTTGTGCTTACACTCTCTGGCAGGCTGGCTGACACGGAATAACCCTCCAAGCTCTTCCCTGGTATCACCGTCGTCTTCTTCATTGTCCTCTGTCACTGAGGAGACCACCATGATGGAAAAGTGAGACAAATCTACACCCTGGAGGACCTGAGACTAAGTGTCCCTCTTTGTAGTGGGCATGGTGGGTGCCCAAGAGTGCCAGGCCCAGACAGAGAAAGGCCAGGAAAACTATTGCTCCATGTGTCTGGAGGACTTCTGCCCTCCCAGAGGGTAGCAGCAGGTCTGCTGAGAGAGAATGCTGGGGTGGGAGAGGGAAGGGACACTGAAAGGCAGAGCTTCCTCTTATCACAGAGTCTCTCCTGAAGAGTGCTCAGCCTAATCACTAAAAGTACCTAAGCAAAACCTGAATGGAAATGAAAACTCTTTTGCTTCGATGCTCCTGCTCACATATATACTCCTCTGGCCTTGTTCTCATCATGTAGTAACTGGGAACCATAATATAATGTTCATCACTTTATATTTTTCTGGCACTAAATTCTACAAAAAAATTCTCACGAAGGACTTTGTACAGGGAATACAAAAATGGTATAACAGAGTATTCTCATTAAAAGTTTTATGGTAAGCCCATAAATCTGTACATGGCATCTCATAAGGTTGTATGGTCCTCACAAGCTGATTAAAAACACCTGTCAAACATAAACTACAGCAGCCAGTATCTGCAGGATATCAAACGTACCACCCAATCCTCCAACCAACTTCCTCATCTCCTTTTCAGAAAATAGTCTCAGAAACCTAAAATGTTTACATGTTTTGCTCTGAGCCAGGGCTCTTTTACCTGCCCCATAAATGAGCCTTCGAAGGTTGGGAGTTGCTTGCTGCTGCCTCAGAAAGGCCTCAGCTGCCTTCCGGGAAAGTTCTTCCTTCCACCTGAGGGCGCCTGAAAGGACCAACACCAGCGTCAGGTAAGCCTGTCCTCTCCGCTTCAAGCCCACCACTCATTCACCCTGCAATCCTCTTATGAGGAGCAACGCCTACAATGGCAGTAAATTAAACATAAGCATACCTGACGTTTCTGTGGAATAGCTGCTCTCTTCCTTGTAATCCTCCTCCTCTTTGAGTAAGTCTTCCACATCACTGGTCTCATCAATTGAGTTCTCTGACCCCCGTTTCCAGCCACTGACCACTTGAGAAGTCTTTGGAAACTTTTTCCTAATAACGTCTTCTTTCCTGGAATCCTCTTCCTCTGTACTGAGAGAGAAGCTTTCTTCAGATTCATCTTTGGAAGCAAGTGCCTCTTCAGCTTTGCAATGACCTGAATCTGAAGTGGTGAGGATTGCTTTTTTGATTGTCAAAGACTTCTCCAGACTCAAACTGTCACTCAAACCATTAGTCTGTAAAAGTCTTGGTTTCCCATCTTCTCCAACAGCCTCTGATTCCAAAACATCCCTTTCCCCTTCTGCAGCAGAATCCTCTTCTTCACTGCTTTCATCGGCTTCCTCCCCTTCTCCTTCTTCCTGTGAGCTCCTCTCAAGGTCGTCGTCACTATCAGCAAAGGCTGGCGAATCCACCTCAACGTCCTCTTCCATCTCCTCCAGCTTCTGGCGTCTGACACTTTGCCCAGTCAGATACACTTCCTCAGTCATTCCAGCATCTTCCTCCTCTTCGGTCTCATCATCACTAGCACTACTTTCCAACCTGTAACCTTCAGACACTTCTTCTTCGTCTTCATCATCACTATCTCCAGACTCATCTTCTTCATCTCCAAAAATGGCTCTCCGACGCACTCGACCAGTTTTCAGGTCCATCTGCTTTTCCTCTTTTGGCTTCCAGAGCCTATGTTACCAAGTAAATGAAAACCGATTCAGTTTATAAAATACTCAGCTAATCTAGAAATGGCAATCAAGAATGATTTGATAAATACTGGGATAGTTAATAAGCAAACGTGCACAGTTCTCTAACACTGGTCTTCAGAAGAACTTATAGAGAGAATACAGAGACAATTTTTAAAAAGTATTACTTTAAGAGAAAACTGATTAAAAGGGAAGTGAGTGTTTAATATTGGTTTTAGAAGACTTATCATTTCCAGCTTGAAACAGACGACCTTTAGAGAAATGGCTGACTCCAGGTCCAAGGCAGGGAAGTAAGAGTAAGCCTGGAACATATGCTGTGTGAGAAGCCAGGAAATGCTCAAAGACTAACAGGGATGTATCACAGGAGACAGGAGGCACACTGAAGGGTCAGCATGGACATCACAAAGAATAATGACTGTAGTGGGATAACAAATGGAATTTTTTTCAAAAAGTCCATTAGTCAACAGTGACACTAAAATAAAGGGGTAGAAGTAAAAAAACTCTTTGTTAAAGAACACCAACTAACAAATGCAGGAGGAATAGCAGATGACAAATAGCAGATGTCATTTTGAAATCACCAATGCAATTTGATAAAGAATCATCAAGATGCTAAAATCATGGGTGAAATAAGAGTTCATTATGAAGGTACTTAATGTAGCAGCATATATAAAATTGTGAAAAAAAGAAATTAGGAAAATACTAAAATTGTATTAAGAATGGATGTTAGAATACATAAAAAACAAGAATATGACTATATAAAAAGGCTATAGAGAAAAAGGAAGTGTTTACAATATAGAAAAAGGAAGTGTTACAATATAGACAAAATGGATGTTAGAATACATAAATAACAACAATATGATGGCTACATAAAAAGGCTATAGAGAAAACGGAAGTGTTTACAATATAGACACAGAAGTTTTACATGTATTGTGACTGTAACTATATTAAAAAGAGTTTCCATGTAGACAAGGAAGACTAGAGGAATACTCAAAACCAGCCAGCTAAGAACACTGATCTTAATAGGGGATCTTTTAGTGACTATTTACCTCATTTAGCCAGGCATCAGACTAAACCGTTTATGTACACTATTGTATTTAATCATCACAACTCCTATGAGGTATTAGGAAACTGAGGCCTAGCAAGACTGATTTCCCCAAACTAGGGCACCCATTTCACTTAACTACCACACTTTACTACCTGTGAGTTAAGAGGGCAACAATTTTTTCCAAAATAATTTTCCTTTGTTTTTGTATATTTACAATAAATTATAAACTAGATAAGCTCAATCATTCCAGACTGATTATTGGGAGTCATAAATCACTATAATACCAAAGTCCCCACTATATATAAGGTATACTAATTCCCAACCCAGACAGAAAATAACTCACATAAGCCAGACATTACTGGAAATCACACCACAGGAAAATACTGCAACACAATCTAAGTAAAACTAGGGATATGTGGCCTCTGGACATCTGCCCGAACAAGCCCTGATTCTGCCCGTTTTAGTGTTTTGGCCATTAAAAGAAAGCCTAGTGTCCTCAGGTCTCCAAAGAAACAAAAAGCAACCTACGGGAAAGGTTTTGTGGAAATTGAGGAATATCCTGGGTCTGTTAAAGACTGAATCCTGTAAAATTTTTCAAGGAAATATTTACATGTAACATCACATAACTGAAGAGCCCTCATATGCATATACAAAGCAAAGCAAAGCAAAACAAAACATCTTGGAATGAATCCTACCCAAAATGTGCTATGATGGCACAGTTACGGTGATACAATCTTCTGTAATATATATATTTTTATAAATAGAAAAATAGCAAACTTACCCTGGATTGTCTATGTCCTCTGAGCCCAGTGGTTTAGAATCAGAAAAAAGTGTCACCCTACTTGAAGCCATCTTGGCATCAATAGTGGAATGGGTGGAAATGAGACTCTGGACCAGTTCATGGGTGGGCCTCACCTCATCCTGTCAAGGCCACCAAGAAAGAGAAAATGAGGAACACACAGGGATTCTGGAGACACTGGTTTCAATCAGTATCCCAAAATTACCCTAAACATAGTTCCTGAGAACCTTTCTACCACAAAAAAAGAAAAGAAAATTCTTACCACAAAGCCTGTAATTCATCTCACTCTTCAATGAACTTTTCTAAAGTTCAAAGACTATACAATCTGATAACTTACATACTTAGCAAGAAAAACTTTAGGTGTCAATGCTACAGAAAGCATTTATCTTAACCTAGTAAAATCCCACTGCAGAATAGCGAAATAAAAATCTGGAGTCCAATAAAAGAGGGGGTGCTGCCTTTGATTGAAAAATTTTTCACTTCGGGGAATTTACTGCATAGAAAGATTCCCCCAGTGAGGAAAGCTGCATGCATGAAGGAGTTAACTGCAGCACTGTTCAAGCCAGGGGAAATTGGGGGTGAGCCCATGGCCCTCCAAGGGTTGGTTCAGTAAATGAGGTTTATCCATGTAATGCAAAATACTACACAACTCTAAGTAAAGACTGAAGAAGCACTGTAAATAGCAACAGGAAAAAAGGGACTCATATATTCTCAGGCCCCCCACAAGCTGCAAAAGCATTTACAGTTGGAGCCCCTAAAACAAATATTACTTCTCTTTCTCTCTCTCTCACACACACACATATATACAAGTGCCATATATACATATATATATATAACCTAAATATATATAATCTAAATAAATTTGTATATGTTTAGAAACAATCAGAAAAAAAAAAGAGAACAACCAAAGAGCACTAGAAACAATGATTTTATATAGAAATGGGAGGTACAGGCACCAAACTTCTTAAAATGCTTACTGGGAGACAGGATTCCCATGACATTAATTGCATGGAATACTTGATGCAATTAAGTACTCTGTATATTTACAATATGCATTGTGGCCTTTATCACAAATACAAATACAAATAAAAAGCTGACTACATTACATTCCTGGGACTTCCTGCTCACCGGTTCTTGGAAGCCATGGCTGCCACCAAGGTCAACATAGACAGCATCTTTGTCATACAGCACACCACCAACTCCAGAGAGAGGTGCATAAACCAACTTCTCCTTCTCATTTAAACAGCGCTTCTTCTGTTGCTCAGGAAGTGCACAGGGGTCTGGGAGGAAAATGATGTCACTCACAGCAAAATCTCCTACACCTGCAAGACAGACACAGGAAGGTGGCTTCAGCTGACAAGCGCATCGATTGTCTGCAGAAAGGGCCCACAGTCACAAGTGCCCAGCCACAAGAGCACTGTTTGACACTGGCTCTGTTTCTCTAGCTGACTGACACCGTCAGAGCAGAGGAGCTTTGGCCAACTAACCAACACCTTTGCTGGCCAAAGCTGGGTTACTCTTCAAACCTCTAGTAAGGTAGCTCTGTCTTGTTTGGCCATTTTGTTCAGTTTTCCTGAGAAATGAAGTCATCCGAAGAGTTTTACAAATACAGTATATGACAACAAAAGGATACCTGGCATGTGAACTTGGCTTTTATTTTTCAAGTGTGCTCCTCTCAAATAACCATAAAGAGACACCTTTCGGTCACACTTGATATTTGTTCGGATATCTTCAGGGTTTGTCATATCTTCCATCCTAGTAAAGCAAAACCCAATCATATGGCAGAAATGAATGTCAAAGTTCTACTTCCCTTCACATGTCAGTGATTCATCAAATTCACTAGTTCCTAAACACACTGTTTAGAAAATACAGAAATAAGCACAGTTCACCATCTACCAGAGGAAAACTATCATACACGAGACCCCTCTTAGGTTTTATGTCATATATATTCTGTAAGTAAAACACCAGAAATGGGAAAACTTGTATCCGAGGTCAGGGAAGAGTAAAGAACACTCCAAGTAAACCCTTTATGGAAGAGGGTTAAGCTTTCATCTGTTTTTGCAAGTGTGTCTTGGATTCTGGCGGGTAGAGAAAGAGTATTCCAGGTTGGGAAAACAGTATGAAAAAAAAACAAGGAAGGAAAGCCTGGGGCACATGTGAGTGACTGGAACACCATGGTCTACCTAGAGTATGACTAAAAATTAAGGTCAAAAAAGCAGGATGGGGCCACATCATGTAGCCTTAAATGCTACAAAGATTTCACATTTTTCTAAACATTTCATACTTTATTCCTGAAGCCACAGCATCTTTGAACAATGTTAGCCATACCCACTACTCAAAAATAAGCAGAAAATAATCTCTATTACTGTTCTCTTTCTAACCTTTTTAGCTTTGCAATACATGGGCCAGGAAGAAAAAATTTATATTCCTTTTTTACCTGTCTGCCAGGATATAAGGGTGAGAGGTTTGCCATGTAAGAGGCCTAAACTTCATAACTGTAATAAAACGGCCCAGATTGTGAATTTCTTGGTTTTGATATTCTCCATGTACCATTCCAGAAAGGAAGAACAGCTTGGCACCCTAAACATTAAAAAAAATAATAATGATAAAATTAAATTTCAATTAAATTCTTGTCAATATTGTACCAAAATAAAGGCCTCTAACCAAGAAGCAGTCCTCAACCATCACTGTGCTATGCTCCCAGAACACTGCTGGCTTCTTTCAGGACTCATTTTGTTAGGGCTTAATTGGGGCATTCAGTTTCCCTCCAGTCAAGCAGTGAAATCTGTCTGGAGCACTGGAATAGAGGGTGGTAAGGCTCCTGGACCCAGAAAAAGTTCTGTGGCCAATGGGGCACAGTGGTGTGAAGGGGAGAGAGGAATAGTGGTAAGTAGCACTACAGCACTGGTCCTTGAATCAGGACAAATTTTGTATAAACTCTACTAAATCACAAATATAAAATACTCTGAGCCAGACACTGCCTGGTCCTGGGGGATACAGAGACAAATGAGACACACATACCAAGGGGTCCGGAATAAGGACTATGTTGAGGAGATATTCCAGGAACTATGAGCATACATAAAGGAAGTTCAGGAGGGGAATCCTGTAGAAATGTTTATTAATCTGTGCTACTCATCCTATGTTTAAAGGATTGCAGTGCTAGTACTTAGTAATTAATTCTCTTCCTACCGGGTAGACTTCCGTCCAGAACCTGTGTTTTAATCGCTTCTTTGTCTTCTTCAGTTGCTTATTATATTTGAAGGAATCTAGGTGAGTGAGAACACCCATAATTTTAGGAAAGCCATGTACTTGACAGATGTTTAGAAATTCAAATGTTTCCATTTCAAATCCAAAGCTGGCATCTATAAGCATCAAAACCTAGAAACAGAAGACACGATTTATCATGGAAGCAACCCAAAGTAGACCATAATCAAATTGTGGCCCATGTTTTTAACTAATGTTTTATTGGAACACAGCCACGTTAATTCATTTATGTACTGTCTACATCTGCTTTGCGGGCTACAACAGCAAAGTTAAGTAATTCCAACATGAAAGTAGGACCCACAAAACCTACTGGGCCTTTACAGAACCTTTACTATCTGGCCCTTTACGGAAAAAGTCTGCCAACTCCTGCTCTAGACTAAACCAAACAATTACTTAGGCATCACCAAGATAGAGAAAACACCACCCTTTGACTTGTTCTAAAAGGCAACTGTGAGGCAATATCTACCACAATATAAACATTCATTTCAAGAATCTGGATGTATGGGATACAACTCAGGAAAGGCTGGTCTAATTTGGCCCTCACCCGAGAAATTCTCATTTCAAGACATGAAGTTTTCTGTAAGGTATTTTTTAAGTCAAATAACAAGTCTCTTACAAGGAAACCAATTAACAGATCTCTGACATCCAAAAAATGGGAAGAAGTGATAATAAATAAAGAATATAAAAAAATGTACAGATAAAGACATTTTTGTTTCAGTATCCTTATAGGGACAAAAGAAGTTTTTTGTGGAGAATAATATAGTAGGAAAGTTCTATCTTATATGTTAATTTGTAACATGCAACTGCTGAAAAACTAAAAAAAAAAAAAAAGCCTACTCATTGAGAACTGAGTCAAAAAATAGTAGTTATAAATGGTAATTTATGAGAAAATACAAGCAGGTAAGACCAATTTTTTTAAATTTATGACTTCTCAAACATGTAAAATAATTTCAGACTTCTAGTTTTAAGTTATTTAAGATATCTTTGTTCTCATCTCTTGGTAGCAAGTTAAAAATAGTAACAAAATAAGAAACAGAAAAACTTATCTTCGATTAAGTTAGGAAGCAGTCATAATCCTAAATCACAAAGTACAAGATGGCAGGCCTCTAGCTTTGTGAGAAAGTACACCTGCCACTGTGGAAGACAGGCCAAGTCAGCACACAGAATTCTCCAACACTGAAACAGGTCGAAGATAAGGGTGCTGACTGGCTGTGGAATACCTATACCTACACCTATACCCTTTGACACCATGGAGTGACAAGAGGCAAGCATTAGTTGGAGGGTCAGAGGAACAGGTGGCAAACAGTCCCATGACTGACTATCTCAGTCAACTAAAGATAACGGAAACCTGTATCACACCTTCAAGATACACACATGCACATGGACACACAAATCCATGTTATGTATGCTTCTGCTGTGACTTAGGAGGCTTTATGACAACCGAGAGAAAAGCAGTCAACATGAGCTAATTAAATTCTGGTACATACAACAGAAGAATTAAAAAGAATGAGGTCAAGCTATAGTACTTATACCTCCAAAACATATCTAGTAAAAAAAAGCAAAGCACGGGACAATGTGTATAATACACAGCATGCTTGAAAGGATATGCTTACCTGGAAGGATACTGCTGTGAGGGAACTGAGAGAATATGGGTCAGAACAAAGAAAGAGAAAACAAGCATTGTGTGTTCCCTGGAACAGCAGTATTTTATCAAATGTGTGTGTTCCTCTTAAATCTTAAAGAGATGTATACAAAAGGCATCTTTCTTAATATTTTACCAAATTTCGGTATCTTTTACATATAAGAGAAACTAGTAATTCACATACTGAACTATTTTAATCATTTAAAATACACAAGATTTAATAAGTTTCTTATACTTTTTGTGTTGACAGTAACACTTATTTTTACATTGGTAGTCAAAATTTGAATGATATTTAGTTTTCTGATATTAAAATGGCACAGCTGTAACATCTATATTAAATTAGCTTTTATTTTATAATTTAGGAGACTTCCTTGGCCAAAGGATAAAATATCTGTAGCTCTGTCACCAAACAGCTCTCCAGAAAGTGTTCAAAGAAAAAACAAGGTACCTGTGACCCAACTCTTCCTAATCAACATGTCTTAATTTTTTTCTTTTTGGCTCTATTTTTGCTACCTTAAAAGGCAATTAATGACAAACAGTGCTAAAATTCATATGGAACCACAAAAGACCCCGAATAGCCAAAGCAATCCTGAGAAGGAAGAATAAAGCAGGGGGGATCTCACTTCCCAACTTTAAGTTCTACTACAAAGCCACAGTAATCAAGACAATTTTGGTACTGACACAAGTACAGAGCCACAGACCAGTGGAATAGACTAGAGACTCCAGATATTAACCCAAACATATATGGTCAATTAATATACAATAAAGGAGCCATGCACATACAATGGGGAAATGACAGCCTCTTCAACAGCTGCTGTTGGCAAAACTGCACAGCCACATGTAAGAGAATGAAACTGGATCATTGTCTAACCCCATACACAAAAGAAAATTTGAAATGGATCAAAGGCCTGAATGTAACTCATGAAACCATAAAACTTTTAGAAAAAAACATAGGCAAAAATCTCATGGACATAACATGAGCAACTTCTTCATGAACATATATCCCTGAGCAAGGGAAATAAAACCAAAAATTAACAAGTGGGACTATATCAAGCTGAAAAGCTTCTGTAAAACAACAGACACCACCAATAGAACAAAAAGGCCTCCTACAGTATGGGAAAATATATTCATAAATAACAGATCCGATAAAGGGTTGACATCCAAAATATATAAAGAGCTCACGCACCTCAACAAACAAAAAGCAAATAATCCAATTAAAAAATGGGCAGAGGAGCTGAACAGACAGTTCTCCAAAGATGAAATTCAGATGGCCAACAGACACATGAAAAGATGCTCTACATCGCTAGTCATCAGAGAAATGCAAATTAAAACCACAATGAGACATCACCTCACACCAGTAAGGATCACCACCATCCTAAAGACAAACAACAAATGTTGGCAAGGTTGTGGAGAAAGGGGAACCCTCCGACACTGCTGGTGGGAATGTAAACTACTTCAAGCATTGTGGAAAGTAATATGGAGGTTCCTCAAAAAACTCAAAATAGAAATACCATTTGACCCAGAAATTCCACTTCTAGGAATTTACCCTAAGAATGCAGGAGCCCAGTTTGACAAAGACATATGCACCCCTATGTTTATCACAGCACTGTTTACAATAGCCAAGAAATGGAAGCAACCTAAGTGTCCATCAGTAGATGAATGGATAAAGAAGATGTGATACATATAAACAATGAAATATTATTCAGCCATAAGAAGAAAACAAATCCTACCATTTGCAACAACATGGATGGAGCTAGAGTGTATTATGCTCAGTGAAATAAGCCAGGTGGAGAAAGACAAGTATCAAATGATTTCACTCATCTGTGGCATGTAAGAACAAAGAAAAAACTGAAGGAACAAAACAGCAGCAGACTCACAGAACCCAAGGATAGACTAACATTTACCAAAGGGAAAGAGACTGGGGAGGATGGATGGGAAGGGAGAGATAAGGAGGGGGAAAAAAGAAAGGGGGCATTGTGATTAGCATGTATAATGTTGGGGGAGGCCCAGGGAGGGCTGTGCAACACAGAGAAGACAAGTAGTGATTTCACAGCATCTTACTACGCTGATGGACAGTGACTGCAAGGGAGTATGTGGAGGGAACTTGGTGATGGGGGAGTCTAGTAAACCTAATGTTCTTCATGTAACTGCAGATTAATGATACCAAAAAAAAAAGGCAATTAATGAACATCACTGTTTCTTTAAATGCAATCAAGCCTGTACCATTTCCATATACTAAGTAGTATCTAGATTTTCTATTATAAACTCTGAAAACTTCTCAAGGACAATCCATGGACTTATTTTATCATAATCACTAAGAAGAGACGTTCTGGCACCATCAAGAGCAGAGTTCCCCTCCTCAAACAAGTTACTTCACTTCTAGGAGCCTCAGTTTCATCATATATGAACTGGAGATAATATCTACTTACTTCTAAGGTATACTGGGGGATTAGATGAACTAAATTTGTAGAAAGCTGTTAGCACAATGCCTAGTAAGGATACAAGAAATGGCACTTATGATTATATATTTCTATGTATTTCTGTAAGTGTATCTTAACAAACTTTTACTAGATATGTTGATTAATGGTATTCTCTGTCCTGTGGTTTACTTTTAGATTTTAGAATACCTTTCTTTCATTGCCATATTCCATTTTTATTATAACAATCATCATCATCAACTCAAACATACCTGGGGTATCCCTGATACTCACTATTCCTTTAATAATCATAAACCTGGGGAAGATGGCGGCATGAGCAGTTCAGAGGAAATCACCTCCCCAAAACATATATATTTATGAATACAATAAATACAACTATTCCTAAAAGAGACACCAGTGGACACAGTACAACAGCCAGGATACATCTACATCTGTGAGAACTCAGCATCACATGAAGGGGGTAAGATATAAGCTGCGGCCAGGCGGGACCCGAACGCTCCCCCACCCCAAAACACGGTGAGAAGAAAGGAGTCGGAACAGGGAGGGAGTGAAAGCCCAGGACTCCTAAACAAACAGCTCTAGAAATCCGCACCCGGAACACAGAAACAAGGTGCACGGGGTGCTGGATATTAGAGAAATGGAAAAGCAAAACCTGTGGGCAGGTCCCTGCAACCAGTGTCCCTGAGACAAAAGAAAAGCCAGTGCTTTCTGCAAGTCTTAAAGAGACAGGGACCCCATAGCTGGACGAAGTTTTCATGGCACACATACCCAACAGCTGAGAATCTCGGGAAAACTTAGGCACCCTAAACCCTGGGGAGGCAGTACAGCTCTGAAGCCCCTCACGGCACTGAGCAGCCTGCCAGTCATTCCTCCAACTGGCGTGGACCCCGATACACCGGCCCAGTAGAGGGAGAGTAGCAGTGTGTGCTGGGGGCAGAGGCACCAGAACAGACCGAGAGCAGATCTGTGCGCCAACGGCACCAGACGAGACCAGGAGAGGCTCGTGTGAGCCCGCAGCGGTGCGACCAAACAGCCTGGGCGTGGCTCGTGCACACCGGCAGCAGGGGAGCCAGAGAAGCCCGGTAGAGTCCTGTGCACACCTGCAGCGGAGCCAGAGGGAGCAGGCACGCACCCAGCAGCCGACCGAATCCCAGCCCAAGGCATAGCAGCCCGGGCCAGACCCAAAGGCCACTGCTGGCACAGAGCTGCCTGGAAGGGCACCGCTAGCATGGAGCAGCACACCTGGCGTGCCTGCCACTCCCCGTAGGGCTCCGTACTGCTCTGACAACCCGCCCACAGCAGCTCAGGGGACGAACCCAGTGGCTGCTGCTCCAGAAGTGCGAGTAACCATCACAGGCAGCGGAGAAGGGCAAGGCATCCAGCAAGCAGGAAAGGACTTTCTTCTCCCAGCTGACACACCCGCAACCTGCCTACAGCCACTGCTATCACTATGAAAAGGCAAAAAAATTTGGTCCAGTCCAAGATATCAAAACAGCAGCAGAATCACAGAACTCAAGAATGGACTAATAGTTACCAAAGGGAAAGGGACTGGGGAGGATTGGAGGGAAGGGAGGGATATGGGTGGGGGAAAGAAAGGGGGAATTATGATTAGCATGTGCAGTGCGTGTGGGGCAAGGTGAGAGCTGTGCAACACAGAAAAGACAAGTAGTGATTTTACAGCATCTTACTACGCGGATGGACAGTGACTGTGAAGGGGTATGTGGGGGGTACTTCCTGAAGAGGGGAGCCTAGTAAACATAATGTTCTTCATGTAATTGTAGATTACTGATACCAAAAAAAAAATAATAATCATAAACCTTTCTTCCCTTCAACATGGGATAAATAACTTATCACACTGCTGTAAGTTCCCATAAGAAATCTAAGCTGCCCCCGTTGACCTACCAGATCTGCTACTTTAGCCAGATCAATCATCATGTTAATGTCACACCCACATTCAATAATGGTGAGTCTGCGCTTTTTACCTGTAAGTAAAAATATAAAAATTTCACTTTTAAAAACATTGAAAAAAAATCCATGCAGTTAATTAATCACTTTTAATTGCATCTGGTAAAGCACCAAACACACTTATAGGAGTATGCCAGAAGTTAAATTTTATAGGAAAAATGTGATTAAAGAAATTCCGTCTTAGTTTTCTTGCTATGTTCTCTAATTTTAAAGTAAAGTCTACCCATGTGAATAAAGTGCTCACACAAGTAAAATTCTGACTGGAGTAGGCAGACAAGCCAGCTTCTGACGACCATGATATTGCTGCTCAGCAGCAGGCAAGCTTCTCCCTCCATCCAAGTTTCTTGTGTTCCGACTATAGCTAAAAAAGTCCTCAAACCTAATGCGATGGGACATTCATGGGCCAGTCATTATTTCGAAGTAAGTTAAAAGAAATCAGTCAAGATATTAGCAATGCTTTAAAGATAAAGGAAAGCCTCAATCTAACTATATTATCACCATAATAAGAGATTTCATATTCTACCATTACCATTTTGGGAATTTTATTCATCTTCCCTTGGACTTAGAAAGGTCACCATCACATAGCAGACAAGTTCTCACAGGAAAAGGGGAGAAACTCCCTCACCTCTACCAGAAGGTGGCTTCACACAGGCAAACGCACTATCTTACATGGAGTTGCTCCCCATGACCAGACCAGGCTGCCCAGGCCTACCAAGCTTTTCAGAAGAGCATACCTGGCAAACCTATACAGTAGTCAGAATAAGGTTCACAGCTGTATTCATTATTATCTCTGGAATCTATGATTTTCTGAAGCTACAGCCAATTTAGAGGTACAAGAGAGGTAATATGACGTGACAATTTACCAGCCAAGAAAATGTTCAATAAAGATTTGCATGACCCTCAGATGACAACACCTGCCACATCAGTCTGGCGTAGATTATCTTACCTGACACAATTGTTACAGGGCCTCTAATCTCTGTCAGCTTTTGCCTAGTGAAGTTCCGAATGAGGCACTGGATCAAAGTGCTCTTTCCAACTTTTGGAGGCCCCATCACCACCACCACTATTGGCGGGGGCTCTAGTGGAGTTCGATCAACCACTGGAATGTGATGCTTTTTTGTCTTCAAATCCTGAGTCCTATGTGTAGGAAAAAGAAAAAGTAAATACACTTTCAAAATATAAAAGGCATTATCCTTATAAATGAAGATTTTAAAGACAGCAGAACATATAATATATGGATATGATACTTGTTAACTTCTGGCCCCAATCCAAATACTGGGTAAATATATAACAGATTGACTTCAACAGTACAGAATGCAGAAAACTATACACACTTTAAATCTGATTGCTTTATTAGTGAACTGTAACAGTTTAAAATGAAAACAAAAAGCAAACATGGAAGCAGTGTATCAGAATGCACAATAACAGACTTTGTAGTTAAATTTGGCTCTCCTATTGGGAGAATTTAATTCAATAATATTTGAATATACTGCCTGTCATATAATTAGGACTCATTAAATAAAGCTATTTAATACTACACATTACAATTTGGTGAAACATATCCAGAAACAAACACAAGCACACCTATTACCAGAGAAACTCTTTAAGGTTTACAAACAAACAAATTCTACAAAGAAAAATTCTTAACTTTTCTCTTGGGCAAAAAAAGGCCAATCAGTGTGCAGATACTCGAGACAAGGAGGATTCCACAGGAAAGACTTCCCACATTTTAGTAAAAGAAATGTGGCATGCAGCTCCATGTCCTTCAGAGCTGGAACAGACTCCTAAATCCAAACATCATCTGAAGAGGCTTCTACTGCTTGAAAAGAATAAACGGAAGAACAATTGGGCTCCCGCTAAACATACCTGTGAAAGGATCGCGCCATCCGCACAGCAGACTGGACGGCAAAAGCTTTGGGGTTTCTCTTCCGGGCATCTTCCTCATCTCCGAGCTGGAGAGCTTGCAGATGTCGTTTCTTTTTCTTCTCAGCTTTGGGCCCACTGTTTTTCTTTCTGTGTTTCTTCTGGTCTTTAGTTTCCATGGTGGCTCTCTACCAAACCGCAAGTACTTCTAACCTATACAGAATGGGAGGGAATGAGGGAGCATATCCAGGCAACACCCAAGGAAAAATAGTACATTTCATTCTCTTTTTTTTGAAGAAATAGGTACTTGTTCATCCAACAGGTGTAGAACCTGCTTAATATTATCCCCATTCTGCTTCTCTGTGTTATGCTATAGTTACCTCTGCTTACGTCATTTTTTATTCTTTTTAAGTGTTCATTCATATCATCATTGTCTGTTTCTGCAATGGAAATAATTCTATACTGTTCAATACAGTAGTCACGACCCACCTGCAGCTACAGAGAACTTAAAATGAACCTAGTGAAACTGAGAGGTTGAAATTTTATTTCAACTGATTCAATGTCTTTTGTCCCAGTAGTATGGGCCGTATCAGAAGGCTGCACCGACAGTCTGAGGTTTCCCACAGACACACATCAGCGAAAACAGAAGTCCACATACATCAGCATTATTGTCAAGATTACTAGTAGGGAATTAGGAGAGCTGAGTTCTAGAAACCTTTTGCAACTAACCATCCGTGTGGCTTCAGAATATTTTTTTTTTTTCTGCTGTATTTTGGTTCCAAACTTATACTGATGCCCTTCTCCTTTTCGGAGGGCGTGGGAAAAGCAAGAATTGGAGTCACACATCTAGGTCGCGTCTGAGTCACTGCTAGGATTATCCGGCCAAGCTCCTGCCCTGACCCGGCTCTCGCAAGCATTCTGAAGGATGCTTCAGGGTGAGCAGACTAAGAACGCCATCGGCAGCTTTCATCCCTCACCAGGCAGTCCACGCCAGGCCAAGCCGCCCCGCGAGGGCGCGTTCGCGCCCACTCCCCTATATCCTCAGCCAATCAAAAGCCTCTTCCGTTCTAGCTCCCCTACCCAGGTACCCCGGTGCACTTCTCCAGCAGGTATGAAATAGGTCTGTCCAGCGCATGAGGTGCTCCTCGGAAGCAAAGACTTTCTGGGAGGACCTGATCATGCGCCCAACCTGCGGTGCTCCCACAGTCCCGCCGCCACCGCCCACCTGGCCAGTGGCCGTTACCAAACTCACAACTGCTCCAGCTGCTCAGGCCCGCATGGGCAGCGACGGAAACGGAAGTGCGCCTTACGCTCCACATTCCGGTGGGAAACAAGAGGGAAGGAGAAACAGACCGGCGGAAGGAGACTTTCAGGGGTAGAAACGAAGAAGCTCGTGATTGGCTGAGGATGCAGGGCTGTGGGCGCGCCCGCGCGTCGGGGGCGGCGTGGCCTGGCGTGGCTGCCTGGTGAGGGATGAAAGTGTAGGTGGCGTTCTCAGTCTGGTCACCCTTAATCCTCCGCGGGCTGTCCCTTCCGGAAGCCCCGGGTACCACGTGTCTCGACTGTCCTGCAGGAGTACCGCTCCGCCAGCCGGCGCTCTGGTTCCTCTGCTTGCTCTTCCTGGGAGATTTCGCGGGCTTCCTCGACGTGATTCCCTCTTTCGCTGGGACCAACAGACTCAGAGCAGGGACAAACGGACCCAGCGTGACTGCCCCTGCCTTTCTATGGTCCCCGGAAAGGGCCTGGCCCTGGGGAATGCAGCCTCGCGCATTTTTTTTAAGGCAGACCTGCTTTCCCTCTGCTCTGTCCTCCCCACCCGAAGATTGGTTATGGAGTCACCTAACCCTCATCTCAGGTGGGTCGGGATGCCCTCGTACAAGCCAGGCACAATTTCAGTTTGTATCCCTCATGTCTTGGAGGTTTTCTTTTCTGTATGATCCAACCTGTGTTTCCAAAGCTCCGTTTTGCTACACCACAAAACTAGGCTCCCTGTTAGAAATTGATATGCCCAGTACTTCATGCCATCTCACGGTCAGCTTGTTCTCCCACGTCCCACAGGCAGTCCCTGCGGAGTGAATACACTATGCACATACTCTGTGCACTCTGCCTTGCTAGAGAGGCTGTCCTACAGGACACACACTTCCCTCATCTGAGAAGAGCTTGTAATTTTGTAACTCCTGCCAACACTACCCCTCTTACTTTTGTATATTCCAGTATACAGGTAAATGATCCTTGTAACATTCTCTTGGCCTCATGAATCCCACTCTTGTCCTCTGCTGCTCTCACTCCACCTGTGACCATATCCTAGACCTTGTCAGGGCCAAGGACTGTAACTCCTGAGGCACCCTACTCTGATCACCACCTGCTATCTTTCCAAGTTAGTATCCCTAGTGCCTTGAACCCAGAACTGTGACCCTACCAGTGCCTCCAATCCATATCTTAACTACCTTCCTCACTTAATGACCTCTCTTCCATCCCAAGTAAACTAGGTTAACCTCCATGGTCACTATCATCAGTCTCTTGCTCGCTTCCTGAACTTCCCCATCTCCCTGTCACTTCATCATAATCTGCTTGGTAAAATGAGAGCCCTCGATAAACCCAATCCTCCATCTGCTACACGCTACTGCAAGGCAGCTAAACATGGCTGGAGGAAAACCCTGAACCATGCTGACTGCCCTCACTTTAATCATTCTAACTCTGCCTGGTCTATACTTGGTCCGTGCCATTCTTCCAAATGGGTGTTTCACACCTCTCGTCTTCAACCCTTGCCACTGCCTCCCCGTTCCTTGCTTCCTACTTCCCTAAAAAAATGGAAGTGGGGACTCCCACCACCACAAACTTTCACCACTTCTTCCACCCATGTCCCTCTCTGCTGCCTGCCTGTGGCATAGATGAACTGCTGCTGTGTCTACCTAAAGGAGCCATGCACTTGACCCCTGACACCAGTGGGCTGTGGCCATAACCTTCCAATGATATCTAAATCTCAGCTGGAGATGGGGTGGTGGGGAGATTCATCCTGGGCCCTCTATCTCTGCCATAGGGTAGTGGCTGGTCCTCAGGCCTGCTATTCTTATACTCTTTAGACTTCTCTTCTTACTAGCCTATGCCTTGTTACTCCAGTACCCTGTTGGACTAAATAATTCTTAGTATGAACTTTTCCTTTTCAAATTATGATTTCTCTTTCCTGATTGGACCCTGACCAATACACCACCATTTGCCAACAACTTTCAAATTTATATCAATGACTCTGACCTGTCTCCTGAATGCCAGCTCCCTCCCTGTCTGATAAATCCACTGGGGTGTCTAATAGACATCTCAAATATAGCATGCCCAAATGGAACACATGATACTCCCTCTCAACTAACTGCCCAGTTTATCTCAGTTGATGACAGTTCCATCCATAAAGTTGATTAGGCCAAACACCTCAGACATCCTTGTGACACCAGGAACTTCCAGGACAATGTCCTGGAATCTACAGACTCAAAATTCAAGTCTGGGCAGGAGAGCACTCCTCTACGACCTCACCCAGGACCACAACATTCAGGCATCAGAGGTTCTTAGAGTCCGCCATCTCCTCTGAGGCCTTGTGATTTATGAGAGGGGAAATGAATGTATATGTAATGTGAATGTAAAGCCAGACCCTGCTCTGCCCTCACTTAAGCCTTGGGGCTGAAAGAAGGAGAATAGGCCCTGCGCTGGAGTCCTGGATTTCCTGGGTCGTTCTCTACAGCAGAAGGTCCATTGCCATCCCCATTTTAGAGATGAGCATGTTGAGGCTCAGAGACAAGCACATAGCTAGGGTCTGAGGGAGCCAAGATTACAACCGGGAGAGAGTCCTCCTTTCTACTCAGAACTCTGCAAAGCTTCCATTCAGCTACATGCAACTAGACCCTTTGTGGCTAAATGGGAAAAAACATGATTAAATCATAATATAACTGAAAATATTCTGCATGTACAATAAAAAAAAGAACATAATGAAAGCAGACCAGCCAAGGAAAACATAGCTGCAGAGTGCCTGCGCTGGGGAGAAGACCTGGCATTTACCTCAGGCCAGTGGCTTCTTCTGGCTGCTTATGCTGAGGTTGCTCCTCAACCTGAACCCCAATCCAACACTTTGGTTTGTTTCCCCAACTAGCTGGACTCTGTGTAGACTGAGAGATTGTTCTATTATGCAGATGGGGAATCTTCCTCAGGCTCTGGGTTTCATGCTTGAACTTCTGACTGTCCCCAAGAATGAGGACATCTTCAACAGCAAATGACACATGTCAAAAGGACACAGGAACCAGGTCGCAGGGGCTGCCACTGAAAATCAAGACAACCAAGTAAAATGAATCATGGTAGGAATGATAAATAATCCATGAGTTGAGACTCCTTCTAAAGAAACATTTTTTTGAGTGTTTCTGTTAATCACAAATGAGTGTTCATTATTTTTCAAGCATTTTTTTTCTATGTCTGCAGAGATGACTATAGCTTTTGTATTTTGTTCTATTTATATGGTGCATTAAACTGATTTTCAAATTTTATTTATTTACTTTTATTTTGGTATCATTAGTATACAATTATGTGAGCAATATTGTGGTTACTAGATTCCCCCCATTATCAAGTCCCCAACACATATCCCATTAGAGTCACTGTCCATCAGCATGGTAAGATGCTATAGAATCACTACTTGTCTTCTCTGTGCTATACTGCCTTCTCTGTGCCCCCTCCACCACATTATGTGTGCTAATCATAAAATGCCGCTTATTCCCCTTTCCCTTCCTTCACATCCACAACCCACCAGTCCCTTTCCCTATGGCAACTGTTAGTCCATACTTGGCTTGGGTACTGTGAGTCTACTGCTGTTTTGTTCCTTCAGTTTTTGCTTTGTTCTTATGGTCCACAGATGAGTGAAATCATGTCTTTCTCCACCTCACGTATTTCACTGAGCATAATACCCTCTAACTCCATCCATGTTGTAGCAAATGGTAGGATTTGTTTTCTTCTTAGGGTAAATTCCTAGGAGTGGAGTTCCCAGGTCAAATGCTATTTCTATTTTTAGTTTTTGTGGAACCTCCATACTGCTTTCCACCATGGTTGAACTAGTTTACATTTCCACCAGCAGTGTAGGAGGGTTCCCCTTTCTCCGCATCCTCACCAGCATTTGTTGTTCCTAGGCTTTTTGATGTTGGCCATCTTAACTGGTGTGAGGTGATATCTCATTGTGGTTTTAATTTGCATTTCTTTGATAATTAGCAATGTGGAGCATCTTTTCATGTGCCTGTCGGCCATCTGAATTTCTTCTTTGGAGAATTGTATGTTCATATCCTATGCCCATTTTTTAATAGGGTTATTTGCTTTTTGGATGTTGAGGCATGTGACTTCTTTATATATTTTGGATGTTAACCCCTTGTCAGGTGTCATTTACAAATATATTCTCCCATACTATAGAATGCCTTTTTGTTCTGCTGGTGTCCTTTGCTGTACAGAAGCCTTTTAGCATGATGTAGTCCCATTTGTTCATTTTTTATTTTGTTGCCCTTGTCTTAGGAGATGCGTTCAGGAAAAAGTTGCTCATGTTTATATTGAAGAAATTTTTGCCTATGTTTTCTTCTAAGAGTTTTATGGTTTCATGACTTATATTCAGGTCTTTGATCCATTTTGAGTTTATTTATGTGTATGGAGTTAGACAATAATCCAGTTTCATTCTCTTACATGTAGCTGTCCAGTTTTGCCAACACCAGCTGTTGAAGAGGCTGTCATTTCCCCATTGCATATCCATTGCTCCTTTATCGTATATTAATTGACCATATATGCTTGGCTTTGTATCTGGGCTCTCTAGTCTGTTCCATTGGTCCCTGGATCTGTTCTTCTGCCATTACCAAATTGTCTTGATTATTGTGGCTTTG